GCTGCTCCAACAGCAGCCCATGGGCCAGACCCAATTTCTCCCCTAGGGTGATAAAGCATATTGGATTTTCTGGGCTGCCCCACCTTGCACTGGGAGGTCTGGGGGCACAGCCACCTAGCACGGGCCTGGGCAGGGAACTGCTACCCCAGCCTTCTTCAGGAGACTTCCGTGTCTTTGCAAACTCAGAGCCTGATCCCTACAGTTGCTTCTTCCTGCCCCTGGCTCCCTTTCCCACCCATGTGGGTACCTCAGAAAGTGGGAAAGCGATCCACAGCAAGCTTAGTTCAGGGCCATGGGAAGCCCTCTGTTTTAACCAGTGAGACCCTGGCTTCTGACCAGGAAGAGGTTAAGGCAGTAGATTTTCCAGCCTGTCTGTCCACCTTCAGTTAAGGGGGGTGGGGGGCGCTGGATGCTGGTCAAGGTGTGTTGGAAGGCAGGTGAAGTAGGGCTCCGGGGCAGGTGCAGGCAGAGGACGGTCCGGGGAGGGTGTGGCTGCCGCGGGGTCCCAAAGCTTGAGTCCTGGGGGCGGGGCAGAACTTGAGGTCCACCATGCCTGGGAACCCTTTGTGCACCCATCACAGGGTGTTGCCTCTTTCCCCAGCAACGATGACTCACAAAGCCAGCCTGCGCCGGGCACATGCCGCCTCCTCTGGACCCTGGAAGGCCCAGGTCACAAAGGCCATTAGGGCCAAGCCCTGAAGAGGCATGTCCCAAGACAGCTCTGCGCAGTGCTCACCCCTGCTGGCGCCCGGGGGCCCGGGCCTGGGCCACCCACCGCCACCCCGGCCTGGCGACTGGGCATTACGGCTCACGCGGAGCACTGTAGCCTCGACGCCCATGTGTGTCGTCTGCTTCGTGAAGGCGCTGGTGCACGTGTTCAAGATCTACCTGACCGCCAACTACACCTACAACTTCCGCAGCTGGCCTGTGGACTTCCGCTGGGATGACGCGCGCGCCGCCGGCGGGGGTGGCAGCAGTCACCGCGCGCTGACGTGCGCGGCAGCCGCGGCGGGCGTGTGGCTGCTCCGGGGCGCGGCACTGGGCGGGGACGCGCCGGGGCGACCGCTGCGCGGGGCGCGCAGTCAGGCGCAGTGCCTCCTGCAGCAGATCCGCGAGCTGCCGGGCCAGCTCGCCAGCTACGCCCTGGCCCACTCGCTGGGCCGCTGGCTCGTGTACCCCGGCTCCATGTTCCTGATGACTCGCGCGCTACTGCCGCTGCTGCAGCAGGGCCAAGAGCGCCTCGTGGAGCGCTACCGCGGCCGGCGCGCCAAGCTGGTGGCCTGTGACGGCAATGAGATCGACACCATGTTCATGGATCGCCGCCAGCACCCAGGCAGCCAAGGCCGAGGCCTGCGCCTTGTCATCTGCTGCGAAGGCAACGCCGGCTTCTATGAGATGGGCTGCCTGTCGGCGCCACTGGAGGCTGGCTACTCGGTGCTGGGCTGGAACCACCCGGGCTTCGGGGGCAGTACGGGCGCGCCATTCCCTCAGCATGACGCCAACGCGGTGGACGTGGTGGTCAAGTACGCGCTGCACCGCCTTCACTTCCCGCCCGCGCACGTGGTGGTCTATGGCTGGTCCATCGGTGGCTTCACGGCCACCTGGGCCACCATGACATACCCGGAGCTGGGTGCGCTGGTGCTCGACGCCACCTTCGACGACCTCGTGCCGCTGGCCCTGAAGGTCATGCCCCACAGCTGGAAGGGACTCGTGGTGCGCACCGTGCGCGAGCACTTCAATCTCAATGTGGCGGAGCAGCTGTGCAGCTACCCAGGCCCCGTGCTGCTGCTACGGCGCACGCAGGACGACGTGGTCAGCACCTCGGGCCACCTGCGCCCCCTGCCGTCCGGCGACGTGGAGGGCAACCGCGGCAACGAGCTGCTCCTGCGTCTGCTGCAGCACCGCTACCCGGTCGTCATGGCGCGGGAAGGCCTCGCAGTCGTGACGCGCTGGCTACGCGCGGGCAGCCTGGCACAGGAGGCCGCCTTCTATGAGCGCTACCGTGTGGACGATGAGTGGTGCCTGGCACTGCTGCGCTCCTACCGCGCGCGCTGTGAGGACGAGCAGGAGGATGAGGAGGCCAGGGGGCCTCATGGGCTCTCCTTCCCCTGGCTAGTGGGCCAGGGCCTGAGCCCGCGGCGGCGCCGGCAGCTCGCGCTGTTCCTGGCACGCAAACACCTCAAGAATGTGGAGGCGACTCACTGCAGTCCGCTGGAACCAGAGGACTTCCAGTTGCCCTGGAGGCTGTAGTTCTTGCCCCTGCAGCTGCTGGCAAGCGTGGGTGCATTTGCGCACCTTCAGGGCCTCAGGTCCTTACCCTCCCCACACCGGAAACCAGTAAAGCTGGCCCTGCCTGGGGATCCCAACCTGGTGTCTGAGGGAGGGTAAGACAGAACATAGGGAACCTGTCCTCTCTCTCTCTCCCTCACGGGCATTTCCCCCTCCCTTCCTCAAGTGTTTCTCCCCCAAACACTTGTGGATTCCAGTCTGCTCCTAAAGAGAATGTAGACCCAGTTTATGGCAACACTGTGTGATGGGTGCTTTGATCACCTCAAAAGGATGGTGGGAACACGGGCTGTGGGACCCCAGGAGGTGCCCTTAACCTGGCCTAGGGTACAAAATGGCTCTGAGTTTGGACAAGTCACCCCCAGCTGTGAAAGAACACTAGCCCTGGAAGATTATAGACTAGACCAGGAATGTGATGCTGGGCTCTTTAGGGTCCCCTCCCCACCTCCACCTTCCTGGCTTCTAGGAAAGCACAACAGACTCAGAGTAACAGGTACTTACAGTGGCATGTCCGTGAGGGCTACAGACACACCTGCACGGACCATTCACTTGCTTGGCATCCCCTTGAGCCAGGTCTGGGCTGGGCATTGTTCCTGGTTCAAGGGTGTGATACAGAATGAGAGACAAGCTCACCACCATCTGTAATGCAGTCGCTTCTCTACCATCTGCCATGAACTGCATGAAGCGGGGACTAGGGCTAGCCAGGGTGGGCTGAGCAGGAAACTGCAAAACTCAAAGAAGCCAAGTGGGGCAGACATTTAATTGACAGCACCAGAGCAAGACACGGCCACGATGCACCTAGGCCAGGGCCAGCCAGAGATAGGTAGGTACCTAAGGTGACCTTAGGTGCCAGGAAGACACCTACGGCTAGGTGAGCTTTGAGCTGATATAGGAGGAGCTATCCAGGTTCAGGAAGGGGCTTCCATGCAGAGGGATCAGTACATGCAGCGTGGCTTGGCTGGGAAGGGCGAGTGCAGTCCTGAAGGGTTTGAATACCATTTAAGGATTTGCTTCCAGTGGCAATTAGCCAAAGAAGGGAAGTTTGGGGACTTGTTTTAGCGAAACCGGGTTGTCTAGTGGTTACACACCTCTCCTTTGAGAAGTCCGGCAAACTTGTTCCAGCGTTTGCTGGAAGCCCCTCAATTAGCTGAGTGGTCTCCGACAAATTAACCTCAGTCTCCTCATCTGTAAAGTGGGGAGGGCTCCACCTGGATTCTCGGGTTGTGTGAAAAGGAAATGAAAGAACACCGAGGTGCACGCGGTGCAGGAGCACGAAGGCTGCCCTGCAGGCGAGACGCCTCCAGCCAAGTCAGGGCCGCGGCGCCTGCCGGGCAAGAGGACGAATCGCGGACACGCCTTTTTCTGCGTTACCTCCATACAATTAAAAAAAAATAAATAAAAATCCCTATAAAGAGAAAGGACTTAAAAAAAAAAATGAAGGGAGAAGCTAATCCCAAAGTCAGGGGGTCGGGTCTCAAAAACGGATCTCAAACGGTCTGTGCGGTGCGTTAGCCATGACACTCCTAGGCAGCGGCAAACACCCTCGACATCTCCAAAAGGGCCAACCCTAGGCTTCCCCAGCGCCATGTTGGATGGTCGTCCCACTTCCCACCTTCCCAGGGCGCCTTCGGACCTTTCTACCTGTGTGTCTCGCTGGTGGAGCCGACGTGGGAGGGATTCCCTCAGAACCCGGCCTCCCTTTCCGGTTTCGTCCGCAGCCTCGGCCAATCAGACTGGAGCGAGTAATAGGGACGGGGCCGAACAGCGCCCTCGTTGGATACCATTGGTGGGGGCGGGACGAAGGCGGGGCACGCGCCAAAGCGGAAGTGGGCCGTCGCGTCGCTGATTACGTAATGCCGCGGTGGCTGAGGCGGTTCCGCTGGCCGGTGTGTACGCGGCGAGCGAGTCCAGGTGCGGCCCGCTCGGCTCCTCCGGCGCCCCAGACCCCGGCCCCGACCCCCGCTGCGGCCCGGCCGCCGCCCGAACATGGACTCCGCAGGCCAAGGTACCCGCGGGCCCGGCGCCTCCGCCCCTCCCTGGCGGCGCGTCTCGGACCCTCGATCCCCTCCGCCTCGGTCCGTCGCGTGGCTCCTCCTCAGCTGCCCGGCGCCGGGCCTCGAAGCTTCCGATGGCCGTGGCGTGCGTCTTCCTCCCTCGGCTTGGGCCGCTCCGAGGACCGGTTCCCCGCAACCCTTCCCCTCGTTCCCAGGGTTTTGGGTTTCCTCGCTCGGGGCAGCTCGCGTCGTGCCCCGGCCCGGCGCTTGCCTAGTCGGCGGGCCTCCGTCCCTACGTAGGACCCTCGAGGACACGCCACCTGGACCTGGACCTGGACCTGGGCAGACGTGCTTTGCGCCTCTCCCGGGGAGGGGAGGCGGGATGGAACCATCTTCGCGTTCAGTGCAGCGCCCCTTGGGTGGCAACGCTGCTCGGAGCCCAAGCTACTTAGGGGTTGTCTCAAGGGGGGAAGGGTGCAGTGAGTTAGGGGCACAGCCAGCACACCAGACCTGTTTCCAGGACACCCTGACCGGTTTGAGATGGCTGCTGGGGGTGTGGAATGGGCCCAGATTAAAATCTTGAGAAGGTGATTCAAGTCGGACTTCCATTCTGGGGCCGTACGGAAGGGATGCCAAATTCGTATGTTGACATAACTACCCTGGATGATTTTAGGGTTTTTCCTGCCGTTTGTTTAATTAATATGCTGATACAGGTCGAGGTGTCTGGGTTCTGATACAGTTTGTAGGTTTTCCTGCTTTTGCAGTCTACTTGCAAAATAGTTGATCATCCAAAGCCCTTAGCTCTGTTAAGCTCAGGAGGCTTTTCACTGTTTGACTTGCATGTCTAATTTTGGTTAGCACCACAAGCACTGGATTCTGACCATAAGAATGATAGAAAGTACTTACTGAGCACTTACTGTATGCCAGATACTACACCAAACCTGTTTCTCAAATGGCCTTTTTTCATTTTCAGAATAACCCCTTGAGATTGTTCCTTGTATTTTCTGCATGCAGATGATTATACAGTACTGGAGAGCTGGGACTCACCCAGGAGGGACTCTAGCCCCCAAGTTTCGCCTCCAGTGCCAGCCCCACCCTCACTCTGTAGGTCTTTTGGTGACAGGGCTGTGCTGAGGTCATATCACACAGAATGACTGTGTTTCGCCTCGGCTTGTTTGCCAAGTGCCCAGTCTCTGGGTGTGATTTCTGTGGGGTCCGCCTTTAGCTGTATAGGCAGAATGGCCAAGGGCCTTCATTTTTTTTTTTTTTAATAGAAGAGAAAGATTGTGGAGATTTTAAGGCATTTAGCGAATTTGAGCGGGTTCAACATAGCAGATACAAATGGTGAAGTAAAGTCATGTAGGCTGATCTCTGTTGATTAAAATGCAGACATGCTTCATGTAGCGAACGTGTATCGAGCACCAGGGACGTGCTAGCCTCCAGCTCTGTGGGGCATGTGAAGGGATTGAGGTAAATAGAGCATCTTTGGTTTTAAGTGCAGTCTAAATTTAGCAGATTCTAGGATTTCTACAGTAGAGAAACATCTGCAACAAGACCCTTTTACTTCTTTCCAACCTTTGTGACTTTATTTATTTCTTAAAAAGTTCATTTACTGGGCGCTGGGTGGCTCAGTCGTTAAGCGTCTGCCTTCGGCTCAGGTCATGATCCCAGGGTCCTGGGGTCGAGTCCCGCATCGGGCTCCCTGCTCCGCGGGAAGCCTGCTTCTCCCTCTCCCACTCCCCCTGCTTGTGTTCCCTCTCTCGCTGTCTCTCTCTCTCTGTCAAAACAAATAAATAAAGTCTTAAAAAAAAAATTCCCTTATTTAAGTAATCTCTACATGTGGGGCTTGAACTCACCACCCCGAGATCAAGAGCCGCATGCTCCTCCGACTAAGCCAGTGAGGCGCCCCCTGTGTCTTTACTTTTAAATGTGCCAGACACCATGCAAGGCCTATTTTTCGTGGCATGTGCTGATGGTGCAGAACTGCAGGACAGCCATGGGTTTGGAGTTGGGAAGAACTAAAGCAGACCCATGTTCCCTTGTGTGGGATCTTGTCAACTTTTAGTGCAGACAGGAAGATGCTTTTAATTCGAAGAAAAAATAGTGACCATAGGGATTGGAACCTGATCTGGGTGTCTCGGAGGTGTGGAAGCAGTGTTCTCTCCGCGCCTCGCTGCATGTTGCTGTGGAATGAGGGTCGAGCAGAGACTGCAGGGTATTTTGTTTTGTTGACCCCCTGCTGGGGCTGGACGACTAGCACATGCTCATGGTGTGTAATTTTAGCATGTGCTTTGCGGGTAGGTTGATTGAAAGCTTGATTGAAAGCGGTGCTTGCTGTGTTTACAGCTGTATTAAGTTTCTCTGCTCTAAAAATTGGAAGATCTTTTAGGTCCAACTGCTTTATTTGTAGCAAACGTTCCTATCTCAGGAGCATGCACTCTCATGGGGAAAGAAGAGTTAGGGTCCGTCTGCCTTGTGCCAGCCTTTCTCATGCCCTGAAGTAGCACCTTGGGTGGCCTGAGATGCCCTTGGCCTGATGGCCACACCATCCCTGCAGAACCTGTCAGAGAAGAGGTGTTGGTTCTCGCCACAGTCCCCCCAACACCCATGACCTGTGCTCCTACCCTTGCTCTCTTCCTTGGTGGGGACCTTTTCCCTGTAACTTCTTATTGACGCTTTCCGACCTTATTTGTCTCTGGCAGATATCAACCTGAATTCTCCTAACAAAGGTCTGCTGTCCGACTCCATGACAGACGTCCCTGTCGACACAGCGTTGGCTGCCCAGACTCCTGCTGTTGAGGGTCTGACCGAGGCTGAGGAGGAGGAGCTTAGGGCTGAGCTTGCAAAGGTGCTGTGTCTTGGCTGTCTGTCTTGGGACCATGAGTTCAGGCCCCCTCATTAGCCTGAGGGGGCCAGAGTGCTAGCTGTGCTCTGCAGAAATTGCCCCGGGAGGTTATTCCTAGAGTCCCACAGAAACTGCTCTTCCTGGCGGCTTTGTGTGTGCTTGGCGCCTCGTTAAGTATTCCATGAGGAGAATGTATACACGGGGACAGCAGCTCTGAGCACACCATCTATTGGGAGTGTCTTTGTTGGTATTAACACTTGACAGTTTCCAGACTCCAGAAACTGTTTCTGGATCTTCATTTTTCTTTTAAAAATACTTCTTTTGTAAAAAGTGCTTCATGTGATTTTTTTTAAAGTGAGTCCTTTAAGAGGAAATGGTAATTAAAAGCCAGAATCTCCAAGTATAATTTTTATTCATAGCAGCTGCCAGGAATGTTTCTTTTTACTGTGTGGTGCAGAATCTAAGGGTAACTCACTTGGGATTCAAAATCTGGCGACATGAACTTGCTGATAATCTGAGTGTACCATCCGATCCGGCAGAGGCCGGTGACTGCCTGTTACCGGCCTCTGCTCTGTCTCCAGAGATGAGCCCCGTGTTGATGCATCCTGAGTCTAAAAAAGAGCTAGCTCTGCAGATGATCCTCAGCCCCACGACCAGGTTTCAGATCGTGGGGGAAAGCATACAGCCGTTCCTGAGTTGAGTGCAGGTTAGGAAGCCCCAGCAGGCAGCTTTGCACCAGGTCATTTCAGAGTTGAGCTGCAGAGTGGAGAAGCTCAGTGTCACTTAAAATTTTCAATGTGCACTTCCCCCAAGACAGCTGGATTGCACACCCTCAAGCCCTGTCGATCGTCACACCATGAATGGAATGTTCTAGTCACTGGAGTAACTGGTAGCGGTCCGGCCTTAGATGATCCTATGTTTGTAAATTATTTCCTGTTCCAACTATTTTTTTGATGGAAAACCTAGTGATATAAGGGCTTTGAGCTACTTTTTATTACCCCAAACCATCACTTTTTTTAAGAGAAGGACTTTTGGGGCGGGGGGGCAGCTATTGACACAGGAGCTGAAAACAGACCTCTGGAGTCGTGAAGCTTTAGAGGATGCTTCTTTTTCATGTTGCATCCTTTTTTATTTTAGGGCCTGAGAAGGTTCAGGTCTTTATTGTCAAGATTCTTTCTGTTATCCAACTCAGACTAACTTAAGCACAAGGCTCGGGTAACTGCCTTTCCCGCAGCCTGGAGCTGACCTCAGGAACATACGTGTTGTCATAAAGGCTGTTGCTGTGCCACCCATCTGTCCGTCAGCTCCACTTCCTTCCAAGTGCAGGTGGGGCCTGGCTGCAGCACTTCCAGCCTCTGAGCCTGGAGGGAGAGGGGCTTGTCTCTCCTGACACTTGTGCCCAGTCCCAGGGGAGAGCTCGGAAAGGCCTTGCTTGGTGATCCATGGGTGGGCACAGTGATTGGTAGCCCCACCGGGAGCCACTTGACTTGGGGGGATGGGACAGTCCTCCTGAAGAAGTTGGATAAAAACAGAACAGTTGCTTGACATAGACGGACTCTGTTCCTCAGACAAGTTGTTTCTGTAAGCGGAAGGTCCGAGAACCCTCTCATTGCAGTGGGTGTGAGGATGTTGGTCACCTCCCGCAATAGTGGCAGCTAATCACATCGGCTGTGTCCTTTTACAGGTGGAAGAGGAAATTGTCACTCTGCGCCAGGTCCTGGCGGCCAAGGAGAGGCACTGTGCCGAGCTGAAGAGGAAGCTGGGCCTCTCTGCCTTGGAGGGCCTGAAGCAGAACCTGTCTAAGAGCTGGCATGACGTGCAGGTGTCTAACGCGTAGGTACCTGCCCTGCGGCCAGGCGCCCCTGACGGTTGGAGGGTGTTCACCAGACCGGTGCCCCTGCTCCGTCAACGGGAGGCTAAGTACTGGGGGACTCAGTATGCCTGTGTGCTGGCAGCCAGCCAGAGGCTCTGAGCTCTTGACCTAGCAGCTGGTATGTATCCAAAGAGCTTAGAGTCTATACATGTTTTTGAAAGGCAGGTGGATACACTAGCTAGTTGTCGAAGCGGAAATTGACAAGAATGTATTTCAGGGTCCAAGTTTGAGAGAAAGCTCATTAGGTCCTTAATGAGACTGATTTTCCTGTGATCCCCCATAGCTCACTGTCTGCTGAAGTGGACACGAGTCCTTCTCATGAGCATGATGTGGTCACAACCCCAAGCCCTCTGACCCAGATGTGACTCAGCTCTCTGAACCTGGGGAGAGTAGCTACATGGCTCTTCTGAAATGTATCCTCCAGGGTTTGGGGGGCGGGGCATGGGTTTGGGAAATGTTTCCCACTGTCTATGAAGCTGTGTCCCTGCAGAAAGATTGAATCACATTTCATCAAAGTCACCTACAAAAGCCCATTTCTCTGTCCTAGGGAATTCTAGGTTTTGAATCCCAAAGGGTGACTGGCAGAGAAGTGTTTGGGGGCCATGGGCTGTGTGTGCCTTCCTTGCTCCTCACAGCAGTTCTGTTCCCTAAGGGCCATCTTACATGGAGTGACCAGGCACTCCCTAAGCATGATAGGAAAAGGACTGGTCGGTTCTGCCATCGCCTCACCTGGCCTCAGCGAGGCCTGCCCAGCAGGTGTTGAGAGGAGGGGCAGACCCTGTTCTCAGGCAGGCTGGAGACCCACCATTCCTGCTCTCCAGCCCTCCGTGTTCCCTGGAATTTCACCTGTAGTTCAAAACCTTAGTTGAAACAATTGTTCTAAATAATTTACCACAGACTTTCTGTTTTTAGCTACATGAGAACTTCTGAGAAACTTGGAGAGTGGAATGAGAAAGTGACCCAGTCAGACCTGTGAGTGCCTTTGCTGTCAGCACCTCCCTACCCCTCCTCTTCCTCTCGACGCTCGTTCTAGGGACAGGGAGGCTTTGCGCACTTGGCACAAACCTAGTTTTTTAGTGTTTGGGGCTATTCTGTTTTTAATACCGTTTTTCTTTTCTTAAACACAAATGAGAGTATAACTCTGATGAAATGGGTGCAGTCGCTGAAGGAAATTCACTCGGCCACCAGACTGCACTGAAAACCTCCGTCTGGCTGACATGGGTGTGTCCCTTAGATGAGAGGCCTGGCTGGGCTCGAAGGCGCCCCTCACCTTGCGAGTGGGCAGAGTGGCTGAGCACCATCTGGGCTGATGCTGATGGCGATTCGGGGCTTTTTTTTTTTTTTGCCTTCTCGCCCCTGCAGACCTAGCTCCAGCTGAGGGGGATTCTCAGAGCTCACTCATACTTAGGGGTGGTTCTTGAGTGAGGGCTGCCACACAGGCCATGCTGGTGGGGTCTTGAAGTCGCGTTGGTCTGAGGAGCACAGAGCTGTCAGCCACACAGAATATTAGCAGAGTAGGAAACACACAGATAGGTGTTCGTGTCCGTCAAGGCTGTAGTTCAGAATGAGTCCTAATGTTTTATTTGAGATCCTTACACAAGGTGATAGCACTTCTTTTATCCGTGCTGCAATCTGATTATAATTCCTTTGAACTGGATGAGGAAACATTTTAAGATAGTGGTTTCTGGGATTCTTTTCCTTCTCTTGTTGAGGAGGAAGTGCTGTGGTGTCTCCAGAGAGCATGACCAACAGGCCTCCGTGTCTTGACTGGAAGGAAGTGGTCGTGACCGAGCTCGTCTTCATGGCACCTGGGACCCCAGGTCAGCTGGCTCTGTGCTCGGAGTCTTTGCAGCCTGGTGTCACCAGGGGAGCTGGGTGCCAGGGTGCTCTGGTGGGTCCCGCCTTTCGTGTGGTTTGGTGGGACAGCTGTCCTCGCCACGGCCTGCTGTGCTGTGTCTTCAGGGCTGTAGCGGACGATCTCTTCATGGTGTTAACAGGTGTTCTGGAGCCTGAGACAATCGCTGTCATCTGTGCAGTTTGGGCACCAGGCAGGCTCACGGTGCGGACTTAACCTGAGAAGAGCCTTAGGAGACTCTAGTGCTGTTTGTAAAACCAGGTGACATAAGATTGCTAGGGTATGGTTTCAAATAATTACGTGGCTCTGGGCATGGAAGTGGCTGGTGGGATGGCCCTTCCCAAGCGCCTCTCCAGGTGGCAACCGTTCCCCTGAGGCCTCACCCCCAATTCCGTTGGTGGGAGAGTTGCCAAATTGAAGCCTCCAGAGCATTTCTGCAGGGACAGCCCAGGGGGAGGATGACCCAGCTTGTGGTCACTGCAGGAGGCTGCTGGCGGGGTGTGACTGCCCTGAGGGCTTTCTCAACCAACAAACACATCTGTGCGTGTAGCACTGACTTTCGTGAGGCCATGCTGGGCGTAAGCAGCGTTCTCTTGGCTGCGAAGTGGTTGCCAATGCGTTCTATTACTAGATGGAGCTAAACTTGTGCAGAGGGGGCACCAGGTAAACTCCGTGGCCACTGGTTGGTATGTTGAGTCCTTCAGTTGTACATGACAGAAAGCACAGACGTGGATGGTGTCAGCCTTGTCCAGCTCCTTCCTGGTGCAAGGGGGTGCCGGGTGGTGCAGGTTTGAGTCTTTGTAGTATTGCAGCTCAACAGCAAGAAGGCCTGGTGTGGGTCTCACTGGACTCACTGTGGTTGGGGCGCTGTAAACTTCACTGGCTGTCCACACTGCGATCATGCCCACCCAGACTTGGAGGTGGGAGCAGCCCCCAAGGGAAGATCCCGGAGCAGGTACCTCCAGCAGATGCCCCACACTATGATGGGAGGGAGCCTGGTATTTGTCAGGATTCTACACTTTTGTTTTCCTAAAAGGTAGTAGTAATTCTCAAAGGGATATTGGCCAGGGTGGCTCAGCCTAGCGCTCTTGAGCACGTCTGGGCCCAAGTTACCTGCATACAGACTGACTCTTCCCCCAGCCCTGTCACTGCCTGAGCTTGGCCTCCCCGTCAGGGTCCCTGCACTGCATCTGCCCTGGTTTGGAGGTTTCTGTCTCTGAAGGAGTCACTTGTGACCCCTCATTTCCATACCCCAGAAATACTGAGGGTGGTGGAGTGTGGGAGATCACCTCTGGTTTAGTCTCCAGCAGGGGTGCTGCCCTTTGCAATGGCCCATAGCAAGAGTCTCTCCTGTCTGTTGTCTAGTGGCTGGCTCCAATCTGAGTCACCCTCAGGATGCTGCTGCTCGTCACCGACAATCCGTGGCACAGGCTCGTGGTGTCTCCAACTGCAGTTTCCCTGTGGGCATGGAGATTCTGTATGGACTTGCCCTTAAATCCTCTGTTTCACTTCAACAAACAGGTTCACATGGTCTTACATACTCGTTATTTCACAAGAAACGGCTTGAAGACGTTTTCTGAATTTTGTTTCTGAAACTAAATAACGCATGCCATTAGTTACTTCATACTTGTTGTGTTTTTTTTTAAGATTTTATTTATTCATTCGAGACACAGAGATACAGAAAGAGAGAGCACGAGCAGGGGGGGAGGCAGAGGGAGAAGTAGGCTCCCCGCTGAGCCAGGACCTGGACGTGGGGCTTGATCCCAGGACCCGGACGTGGGGCTTGATCCCAGGACCCTGAGATCATGACCCAAGCCGAAGGCAGATGCGTAACCATCTGAGCCACCCAGGCGCCCCTCGTTACTTGGTGTTTTATAAATAACAGTCATGGCTCCCAGTCTGTTTCTTTCAGATAACCGTTTTAACTCGCTTTGAAATGAAAGCAGTTCGCCAGCTGGGGTAAGGGTGAGGGGGCCCAAAGGGTTATTTCAAGTTAGGGGCACCAGAGAAGGTTCCGGAGCCTTTCCATAGCAGGCTTTGTTGTGGGGGAGGTGCAGCGTGTGTCCCCTTCCCTTTACTGTCACAGTTTTGCTGACCCCGAGACAGACTGTGGTGCGGGTGGTGGCTCCTGGCTAAGGCTCCATCAGGCTGGAGGGTGAGTGTGTGGAAGCCTCCCAGAGGGAGTGTGCGCGTTGGTTTCTGGTAGTGAGAACTAGCTGTGGCCGGCCCCTCGCGGGGTGGTCTGAGTCCCAGCCGTGCGGCTCTCCGGGCTGCTGCGTGCGTGCTTGGATTTTGTTTTCATTCCTATTCAGTTCTGTGATCGTTTCTATTGTGGGGGAAGGGATTTCTGGGAGTCAGATTGTGCTAAAAGGGTTCAGAATTAGAGTTTTTTTAGTTACTTACTGCCTTCAGGAAATCCAGAGCAAATCTTACAGTAAAGATTTTATTTTATTTAAAAATTTTTTAAAGATTTTATTTATTTATTCGAAAGAGAGAGAACAAGCAGTGGGAAGGGGCAGAGAGAGAGAGAGAGAGAAGCAGGCTTCCCGCCAAGCAGGGAGCCCGATGTGGGGCTCAATCCCAGGACCCCGAGATCATGACCTGAGCCGAAGGCACTCGCTTCACCAACTGAGCCACCCAGGCGCCCCTCGCAGTAAAGATTTTAGACTATTTTCTCTCCACCGTTAGTACGTTCTGGGATTCACGGACCTTCCTGGAAACTAAGATAAACTCACTGTTCTAGCGACGTCAACATGTTTTCACACTCACTGGCTAGAAAGCACAGGTTTTTGAGTCCCGAACCCTGCTGGGCACTAGAGAAGCCTGAGGCCCCATGGTGCCATGGGAGTGCCTGCCAAGTAGAGGGAGGCCCTCCCAGGAGTGTGCAAGGCTGGGCCCCCCCACAGGATGGGGTGGCGTGGGGGAGTCATGGCAGAACCCCACCTAGCATGGGCAGTCTGCAGTGGTTGGGAGGGAGGTGGGCAGCAAGCACTCCCAGTGGGGCCTCCTGCAGATGGCACTGGGGGGCTGATGGGGGGGACTCAAAGGACCCAGTGGTGCTGTTTGACCTGCCCCCTGTGACATGTGACCTGGTGACACCAACAAGGTGTCAGAAAGTGATCACAGAGAGTAGGCTGGTGTCTCGAGAGCCAGGGCTGCCTGGTTGGCCAGAAATGAGCCCTTGGGTTCAGGCGGCTGTGTCTGTTGTTTATGGTGGCAGCTGGACAAGGGCTGACAGCACCACATATTAGCTCTCAAGGTGGGCCCAGCGCTGTCCTTGCCATCTTTGGCCACTGCACGGACATTGAGTTCATCCCAGAAGACGAATCCGCATGCGGGTGGATGGGGCAGGAGGGCATGGAAAGGGTGGTCTCTGCTGTGATCCAAGGCTACCCTTTGCACTAAGAATGGTGGCCTGAGATGAAGGTCCCCCGGCTCAGGAAGGGTGTTGTAAGACAGCACAGGAGGCTGGGGGGCCTGGGGGGGCTCCCAGGAGTCTACAGGCTGCATGTCCACGCTGTCAAGCACATCCCCCCATGGGTGTGGTGGAGTTTTGACATGACAAGTTTCCCAAATAAAGTAACAGAACGAGGGGATTTTTCTGCCTTCTCTCCCAGACCCAGGGCCCTTGTGGGTCTGTCTACACTGCAGGAGGCGGACACTCCACGTCCCAGGTAGTCAGTGTTGTGGTGAGAAATCAAGGGAAGTGGGTGCCTGAGTTTTAGATGAGGTGGAGTGAGGTCAGAAAACGGTTGTTGCAGAGCTGGGAGGTTGAGACCTGGCCATGCCGCTTCGGTCCCCTCCCTGGTGGCCAGGCACATGCTCACTAAGGGCTCCTCTCTCCTCCTCTTGCGTACTCTCTGGGCATTTGGCGTACTTGGCTTATGGGTGGTGGCCGCTCCTTCTATTGGGTTGGTTCAACTGGTATTTCTTCTCAGCTACAAGAAGACTCAAGAAACTCTCTCTCAGGCGGGACAGAAGACGTCGGCTGCCCTGTCCACCATGGGCTCTGCCATTAGCAGAAAGCTCGGGGATATGAGGTGAGATGCTCTAGTTGCATGGGCCAGTCGGGTGAGGGTTTAGGGGTTTTAGAGCTGCTGGAGGCTCTGCAGGGGGGCCCAGGGCTCAGATGCATACCCCTTGGGGGCCCCTTGGCACCCGTAGATGTGGGCCCACCAGCCTGGACCAGTTGATTCATGGTCCCTTGTCTGTGGGCTGCCTCTTTACCATTTCTGTGTTTCTTGGGGGAAGGGGTCATTGTTTCTTTTGGGTAACTTCTAATACTTGGGATCTGTAAAAGCGGGTGCTTCCCACTGAAGTTCCACAGAGGGAAGATGGCCCCCATTTGGGGGTCAGTGTCAGGGTGGGGCATCACTCTGGGCGGGCCGGCAGGTTGGGGCAGGGGGTAGGGGAAGCGTATTGTTTTCTTGGAATGTTTGCCTGGCCCCAATCTCAGAGAGTGTGTGGCTGTGTGCCAGGGGCCCCAACTGAGTGTTCTCCCCCAGAGCTGATGAGACCTTCACGGCCATCAAAGGTGCCTCTTGAGCAGGGTCTGGGGCCAGGGAGTGTGGAGGCAGCTTGGACACTTGCTGGGCCACACATGGCAGCACCCATCCACAACCTTTCCTGCTCTGGGCTCCGTGGCTGTACCTGCCAGGTCTCCTTTGCTACACAGCAGTGAGCCAGGGGGCTTGGACCCTGGAGCCTGAGGCCATGGTGTGAATCCTGGCTCAGCTACCTCTTTGTTGTGCCCTTGGCAAGGCATCCCTCTCGGGATTATTAGGATGAAGCGTGCACTGCTGAACCACAGTGTGGAGTGCACTTCGTTACCATTGCCAGCATCCTGGCTGTTACTGCCCAGCCCTGCCCTGGCCCCTGACCTGCGCTCAGGACCAGTCCCCTCACTTTGGGATTTCAGGGAATGCCTCTCTGTGGCCCCCACCCCATGCTGAGGCTTCTGTCTTCTCACAGTTGAGAATCACACTGTGGTGATGCCCGTGGGCTTGGTGTGCTGAGTGCAGCGCTGGGGGTCCGTCCCGCTCTGTAGCCCCTCACCTCTTACCCTCGGGTGGGCTGCCTCCCTGCCTGCTTAGGTTAGGCATTTCCTCACCTCACAGGCCTGGCATTTGCCTTGTTGGGGCCTCAAGGGTGGGGGCTGTGCCCTGGTCACATAGCAGAGGTGACGACACAGACCCCTACCCCTCGGCTTATGCCCAGGGCCGTGCTCACCTTTTGTTTGTTTGATGGAATTAGCTCCCCTCCAATTTTTATTTTGAAAAATTTCAAATTTTCAGCAAGGCTGAACAGTTAGTATGCGGTCTGTGTGTTTCTTCTGTGCTAAGGAGTTCGCATTCCCACAATTGGGGGTCTGGTCCTGCTCCGGAACAGCCATGGCTGGGGGGTCCTCTTGTCCACAGTGGCTGTGATTCACTCGGGTCCTACCAGCCGTGGCCCTGAGTGGACCGCAGGGAGGGTGTGCAGTGGTTCCTTCCATAGGCTTCACAGTGGTCTGCTAATATTTGACTTCGTGGGTGTGTTCCTGTAACGAATCTCGTTTGAAATTAGATGGACGCCATCGCTGCTGCACTCTGGGACACCTGCTTTGGCCGCCTGAGCCGTGCTGTGGTAAGCCCGGTGACAGACTGATCACACGCCGCTGGTGGCTGGCCTTGCTCCCAGGGAGCGCCACGGAGCAGGCCATGTGTCAGGTTGTGCCCGTTCTTTCCTCAGAATGCTGGGCTGGTAACAGCATTTGAGGGAAGCAGTGACTCTGCGGTGCCTAAATTACGTGCTCACAGGAGTGTCCTCTGTCACTTTGGGCATTACTCTCCTATGTGTCCTCACTCGTGTTCGAGTGTGTGCAGAGTGTTGGCGCTGGTGGGAATGGCTGTGGTGGAGCTGTCACGGGCCACTGTGGCTCCGTTCTGCGCCTGTTCCTTCGTTACTGCTCTGGGCTCCAGGAACTGGCAGTTCCTGCTGACCTGTGGCATGTCGCCTCAGGTCACGTGCCCGGCCTCCCTGTGCCTGCTGCGTGTCGCATTAGCACCGTGCTTCACACGCGTGGGCCATCCGGCGGGAGGAACCAGGTTCCATTCCAGGTGCCCAGGGGGACTGTCCGTTTGCTGCCACGCCTCACCTCGGGGCTCTTTGGTTTTATTCTGCTGTGTTTTCAGGGGCACAGTGAAGTCTGACACCTACAGGTCCTCAATGGGTCCACCATTGCCTCACCACATGGTCTCAGGTGGTTTCTGAGGCCACGGCCTGTTAACCTCCCGAGTTTGGAGCTGAGGTGCAGAATTTACCACTTCTTGAGAATGAAAACGAGGTCCAGGGAAGTTTATACATACTTAGACGTCTGCCCCACATCAGTGTCCTCGATGGGCCTGTCCAGGAGCAGCCCTGGCCTGAGAAGCTTTTTGCGCGCCCTGGGGTATGAGGCAGCAGGCTGGGAGAGGGAATTGGATTTGGGTTCAAGCAGGGATGGGTCTCTGTCTAGCTTGGTGTCTTGTGACAATGCACCTGCCTTCCCTAATCCTCAGACTCCTCCTCCTTCCACTTGGAGATGGCAGGGCCTGCTGCCCACCCACGTGGCCATGTTGCTTCTGAGATGACCTCCATGTTGGGGGTAAGAGGTGGTAGGCCTGGCTGCATCGTGGAGGACATGGCCATGTTGCCCTTGGACACGTGTGTTTCTAGGTTGGAATCTGTCAGCTGTAATGATGGAGCCGGAGTGCAAGGCGCTCGGCCCTGGGGGTGTCCCAAGGCCTGTTGCAGCGTATGTGTGTGCTCTGGTCCGGCTGAGGCCCTGTGGAGAATGCAGGCCGGTCTGTTGACGCAGAGCGTGTCGGCTGAGCCTGGCTGACCTGGGTTCTGGGCACACACAGACCCTGAGGGTGGTGGAGCCTGCCTCAGCACACCTCACACCTCTGCACTGCTCCTCTCTTTGCGGCTTCTTCCTTCTAACTCCAGGCAGGGTCATGGACATGGGGTGCCTCGTCTGTGACCCAGGTGGGGTTGTGGAGGGGCCGGTCAGGTGCCTCTCACAGAGTTGGGGCTTGGGGAGAGTGGAGACGGGTTGCACGTCCTACTCTCCCTGGTGGTGTGAGGAGCCGGGGTGGTCATGGGGGTCCCTGCGTGGCCTCCCAGAGCTTGATTTAGGGGCTGGGGTGGGCCCTATCCTCCCTTTCCTAACACTGCGTTTCTTCTCCTCCTGCTGCCACCTCTCAGGGCTCGTCCGTTCTCACACTCCTTTAGGTAAGACTGCTGCGGGACGTACCTGTGGAAGGCTCTTCTTTTGATGCAGGGCAGAGTGGTGTCTGGCTGGCCTGTGGAGGCTGCTCTGGAAGAAGTGGTGAGGGCACCACGGCCCCTTGCTGGTGTAGCCAGGCCCCCAGCTGTTGCGGCCTGCTCGAGAGCTTATGGCGCTCCTCGGGCTGTGACCATGCAGCTCAGCACCAGCCCCCAGCCCAGCCTCACAGAGCTTGCCCTGCAGCTCCCACCTGCGTGTACTCCTGCGAGGGAGGGTCATGCTGGCTCTCTCGCTGCTGTGATCTGTGCCTCTTTCTCCAAAGTGCTGGCTGCTCTCCTGTTTTCTCCTCCCCCCGAGAGGCAGTCTTGTCCCCGTGAGTCGAGATGGTCTCGTTTACCTTGTGAGAGCAGCGAGCATCACTGGGACCCCTCGGGCATCCTCCTGAGTGGTCCGCACTCCGTGCTGATTCAGTCCTGCTTTTCTAGCCTGACACCAGCTGCCCTGTCACACACTCTTCCAGCTTGCAGGCCTGGAACCCAAACCCAGAACAACGTGTGATTGGAAATATTTTTACATACTTGACCTGGTGGTTTCTCTGTTACCAAAAAGTCACTTCACTTACCGTGAAGTCAAGTAAGGACATCTGACAGTTATTTGTACCAAAAGTATTTTTAAAGCCCCAGACCTAGGTCTTCTTGGTTCCCTCTTTTAAAGCTCTCCCTCGGCAATCTCCCATTTCTGGGGCAGCTTTGGAGGTCAGGGAGAGGAGCCTGGGGTCGAGTTTTCCTCCTGGTGCTGGGGGCCCTTCCGTGTGCGATGGCCAGAGCCCAGCTGCCCTGCAGAGTCGGGTTTCTGTGTGGATGAGCTGATGGGCGTGGTGAATGCCAGGCTCGTCCCTGTGTTAACTTCTGCTTCCTTCTCTGCTTCTACCATGCTTCCGAGCAGCAGCTCTTCAATCCGCCACTCGATAAGTATGCCAGCCATGAGGTAATGTGCACTTGTGCCCCGGGGCTCTCAGAGCCGGGGTGGGAGCCGGGTGGGAGTGGGTGGCTCCTGCTGGTCAGCCTCCTACTTCCCATATCCCTGAGCCAAGGATCATCTTCCCCTGGCAGCCTCCTGTGGGCCAGGGGTTGGAAAGATCCCTTCTAGGCCAAAGAGCTAGTGGGGGTGAGGCTCAGAGATACCATTTTACCAAACGGGCTCTCATCTGGAAGCTTCCAGGGCTGCCCATGGGGTTGGGCCAGGGAGGGACAGAGAGATTCATACACATATGCGTGGCACCCAGGAGGCTTAAGGAAACTTTTATCTGTACCTGGAGGGGAGTCCTGGTCTCCCCAGAACACCCAGAGCCTTGGCCTGTTTTTGCAACCTCCCATGGGTGTGTTCTCCACGGTGGTGCAGGAGCAGAGCCCCGTCCTTGTTACGGGAGAATCTGCCATGGCTGCCACACCCCACAGTGGTCTGGGGGGTCCTTGACAGGCTGCCTCTAGGGGCCGGAGGGCCGAGCCAGTGAGGCAGGAGCTGGTTGTGGAAAAGGGTGCAGGGTGGGGCTGGGCCTGGCCTGCTTTCTCCTACTCTGCCATCTCCTCTCCTCACTCCCTTGTCCCAGAATTGTCCTTGGTTTTCCTTTGCCGGACTTCTGTGAGAGGTTTGTGTCAGGAACACCTGGGACTTATCATGACCTCAGTATATGTGTATTGAGGGTACAACAGGAATGTGTCCCGCATCCCACCCACTGCCCAGGCAAGTGGTCTGCAGTTTGCCCGCGTGAAGTCTTGGGTTTCACCCACTGGTGGTGTGTAGGTCTTCTGTTCTTGCAGTTGGCAGGTGTGGCTGACCTGTTCTGACCTGGAAGCCTCCAGAATGACCTTGCTGGGGCCGTCTTCAGGGAGCTGCCATGGCTGCTGCGCTGTGCTCCCTCTCGTTTTTGGCTTGTCCCATATTTACAGGGGGTCTCAGGATGCTGTCAGGGATCTTTCTGGAGGTTGGCCCTAACCCTGAGGCCCTTCAGATTGAGGAGGGCAGCACAACCGTTTGCTCCCTACACTGATCTCCCATCTCTCTCTCTTTAAAGGAATTCTGCGACCTTCAAGTCGTTTGAAGACCGAGTTGGGACCATAAAGGTAACGGTCTCTGGGCCATTCACTTGTCTTGTTGGGGTGGGGCATGATGCGTCCTTTACATAAACTTACTTACTCATCATAGATTCGCGTGCAGTGACAGGAACTAATGCGGAGGGTCCTTGTACCTTTTACACAGTTTCCCCAGTGATCACGTTTTGCAGTAGCACAGCCAGGTTAGTTCATTGACACGGTCAAGGTGGAGAGTGGCTTCATCCCCACAGCGGTCCTTCCTGGTGCTCACCTTCCTCTGGCCCTGCCCCCACCATCACTCATCTGTTCTCCGTTTCAGTGACTTGTCATTGCAAGAATGTCCTAGGATTGGAACCGTGTAGCATGGAGCCTTGGCAGATTTGCTCTTTTTACACTGCATAAATCCCTGGAGATACTGCCAGCCCGTTGCCTGTGTCGGTGATTTGTTGACGTGGCGTAGACTCCATAGAGAGCTGGACAGCTGGGGTTCCCGGCACAGTCCTAGGACCTGCCAGCGTTGTGTGCTCTGTCTCAGGTTTTATTATCTTTTTTTTCTCGTTTTTTCTTTTTCCCATCTGTAGTCTAAGGTTGTAGGTGGCAGAGAGAATGGCAGTGAGAACCTTCCCTCCCCAACCGGGAGTGGCGCCAAGCCCCTGCCCGATCACACGCCTTTCTAAGCCCGTCGCAGCTTTGCCCGGCCACGGAACAAGTGTAAGCACATCCTCATCGCCTCGACTGCGACTCTGCAGCGCAACAGCCCACCAGGCCGCAGGCGGGCGCACGGAGCTGGCTTTGAGGATAGTCGTGCCACTCACATGTAGCTGTGGCGTCTGTGTTCGCATGAGCTTTACAGAACACGGTCTTGTACGCAGATGCTTTACGCTGAAGTTGTAAACTGTCCTCCCTGGGGTGCGGGGAGTGGACAGGACAGTGGGCCCTTTGGCAGTCTTGTTAGCTCATGAGAACGTGGAAGGAACGGAGAGTGATAAGCATAAAATAAGTGGTATTTCCTCAAACTCTCCTTTCTTAAGTTAGAGAAGGAATCTGCGGAAGGAAGATCATCCAGAAAGCCCTACCGGATCTTCAGTTTTTATTTCAAACGCTCAATGAGAAAACTGTCCATTTTCTGAAACCATCCAGAAAAGAAACTGGTTATCAGCAGCCGCCTAATTGTTACACTAACGATCGAGCTTTAACAAAAGCAAATTCTTTATTTTTTAAATGCAGTGAATTTTTCAAAAATTAAAGCTAAGCAGAGCAGCTTTAGCCTCAGTTAGAAAACATTATTTCTTTGGACTCAAGCTGAAATACAAGCCTTACATTACCTTATGCTTTATTTGTTTATAATGTTTTTATATATAAAAATAAGGGTTCTTTAGTGGGTTTTGAGCACCATGTAGACTCCTGCATCTAGCCCAGAGGGCAGCATGCCTGGACCGTTGGTGTGTTTTATTTCACTGATGCACGTCATCCCAGTGTATGAAGCTTGCCTCTTTCTCCTCTCAAGGACCGGGGCAGCTCCTGCTGGTCAGAGGGCTCCTGGGCCTCTGGGGGTTGGGGCAGGGGGACAGGAGAAAGAAAAGCCGGCACCCTCCATGGACGGCGGATGCATGACTTGTCCTCGGCTCCAACCTGCCCGTTTGCTGCACGCTGGGGACGAGTGAGAAGCAGATGGCCCTGCATGGGGTCGGCTGGAACTCTGCTGTCGCCTTTTCTCAGGAGCTGCCAGGATCTCATTCCCGTTGTGAAGCTGCCACACCCCAGCAGCCTTGCGGTCAGGGCCCCATGCGTGGGGTGTGTCTGGAGGGGCAGCCCTCTGTGCCTTACTGGCTCCCAGCAAGCAGAGACCGCTCCTGCACACGCACCTGTGCACTCCCGGGTCGGGGGTGGGGGGGCATGCGCTCAGAGTCCACTCTGGTAGACCATGGTGTGCTCTGGTAAGCTGAGTGTCTGCTGGTCCCTTCAGACAGCCTGGGTGGACTGCGGTCCCTGCTGACGCCATGGGAAGAACAGCATTTGGTGTTTTTTCTTCAGGGTTAGAAGCACGGATGGGGTGTGGTGAGAAAGGATGCAAGTGTAGTAACTGATTTATCTTTTCCTAAAAATGGATAATGGGAAATTTGTCAATAAAGCATTCCTTTGGGGAAGAACCCATGTGAGCTTGTGTGGTATGTCTCACTTCATTCGTGAAGGTCAGGAAAGAGTGGCAGGTAAACCCACCTAGATCCTGAGCCTTGGGCCCACAGTGGAGGGAGAGGGAGGGGCGGGTGGGGCGCCGGTAAAGCTCACTTGCAAATCCCAAATCTTCAGTCCTGTGAAGGAAAACAGCGTGCCTCGAGAGAGTGTTGTGGTGACAAATCTGGGGGGTGCCTGAGGAAGGGGTATATGGAGGGTGAGAAGGAGCTAGCCTGCAAGCACGGTCAGGGCTAAGCAGCTGGAGGCCTGCAAGCCAGGCACTAGAGCGGCTGGTTGGCAGATTTGTCGCATTGAAGGGTTTGGGCCTATTCGGGAGTCGCTGGGAAATCCTGCAAGCATCTAATTTCGTTGCAGTTACACCCGAGCTGTGAGGGACTGGAAGCCGCAAGTATCCCCCAGTCAGGTGCAGAGTCTCAGCTGGAGGAAGGCCACTGAGCGGGCAGTGGGCATCGTAAGTGAGTCCCATCCTTAACACCCCCTACCCACACAGGTGGGGCCATATGAACAAAGGTAAATGACAGCCTTGAACAAACAAAGTAACTGTCAAGTGAAGCTCTCTTGAATTAAGGTGGCACAGACGAAGTGGGGTGACGGGGCCCTCACAGCAGGGACGGCAGGCTCCAGTCAGCAAGGTCGGCAAACAGGTCAGCTGCCACGGGAGGCCTCAGAATGTGTGCAGGGGCCTGGTGGAGCAACCCAAGGCAGTTTGAGGACTCCTTTGTTAACACTGTCTGCAAGATTCAAAAGTGGATCCAGTCCATGCTCAGAAACAGGCTCTGGTTCCCCACCCGTCACCTACCTGCCCTCTGTGATGACTCTCTTTTTTTCAAAGATTTTATTTATTAATTTGAGACAGAGACACAGAAAGAGAGCACGAACAGGGGGAGAGCAGAGGGAGAGGGAGAAGCAGCCTCCCCGCGGAGCAGGGAGCCCCGACGCGGGGCTCAATCCCAGGACCCTGGGACCACGACCCGAGCCAAAGGCAGACGCTTAACGACTGAGCCACCCAGGTGCCCCGATGACTTTTTTTTTTTTTAAAGATTTTTATTTTTTTATTAGAGAGCACATGAGAGGGGGAGGGTCCGATGACTCTTTTTTAAGATTTTATTTATTTGAGGGACGCCTGGGTGGCTCAGTCGGTTGAGCGTCTGCCTTCGGCTCAGGTCATGATCCCAGGGTCCTGGGATCGAGTCCCGCGTCGGGCTCCCTGCTCAGCAGGGAATGTTTCTCCCTCTGCCGCTACCCCCCTCACTTGTGCTCCCCGCCCCCGTCAAATGAATAAATAAAATCCTTAAAAAAAAAAAGATTTGAGAGCACAGGCAGGGGCTCGATCCCAGGACCTGAGATCATGACAGGAGCTGAAGGCAGACGCTTCACCGACTGAGCCCCCCCCCCCCGCCCCGCCCCATGTCCCTGTGATGAATCATTACTTGTTCATCCTTTATTTCTTCATGAAAAGGCAAGCAAATGTGAACGTGTATTCTCATTCCTTTCCCTTTATTATTCATAAGACTGTGTTCCTGTGCTCTGCTTTTCCTTAATGCCATGCCCTGGGGTGCTAACCACACCCACCCCTCAGGCCCTTTGAGGGAGCCCCATCTTTCTGCTGGCCAGGTATCCATATGTGTCCATTCCTGCTGTTGTGAGTGTTCCTGGTGGTCAGCGCCTTTACTGGGAGCATCCCACTTCCCTTTGGGATCAGAGAGCAGGCTTGCTCCAGGTGTAATAGCAGGGAGGGCTTAGTAAGTTGACGTTGTACGAACTATGCACTCCACATGATAGTCCAGGACAACAGTCAGCTGGTATAAAGGGTGAAAAGCACATTTATCTTCATTTACTTTGGGAATGGGTTCAATGAGGTTTTTTTGTTTTTGTGGTGGTTTTCTTTTTTTTTTTTAAGTAGGCTCCACATTGGGTGTCCCAACATGAGGCTTGAACTCAAGACCCTGAAATCAAGACCTGAGCTGAGATTGAGTCAGACGCTTAACCAACCGAGTCACCCAGGCGCCCCATGTAGTCTTCATTTATTAATATTAAAATATTCTGTGGGTAAGAATCTATGAGGCTTTGTGGGATAGAGGAATCTGATGTGGACCCAGCCCTGAAGGGCTTTGCAACTCCATTTGTTGGGGGAAGACAAGGTATTACCTTACATAATAGACGTGTGTGAGGTGAGCTTTGAGAGCTTGGAGGACCAGAGCAGGTGGTGGGGCAGGTAGGAGCAAGGACACCCTTGGGAGGAGCTGCTGTTGGAGGGTGAGGATAAGGGTCCGCCTCGCCTGATCAAGGGGCACAGACAGCACAGGGGCTGACGACAGCCACTGTCAGCATTTCACAGGTACCTTTTCTGTTTTATTTTCTCTGAACGGGTTGGATTGCTTATTTATAAACACACTTGTAAGGATGAACTTTTTACATCATGTATCTTGCTCACTTACCTTCAGGAACTAACTCAAGAATTTTTTATGCTGTTATGTAGCCTTTGTATACATTTTATTTGACAGCAAGAGAGAGCACAAGCAGGGGGAGGGGCAGAGGGAGAGGGAGAAGCAGGCTCCCCACTGGGCAAGGAGCCAACTCAGGGCTCAATCCCAGGACCCTGGGATCATGACCTGAGCCAAAGACAGACGCTTAACCAACTGAGCCACCCAGGAGCCCCTTTTGTATACATTTTTAATTACTGTTCCAGGGGCGCCTGGGTGGCTCAGTCAATTAAGCATCTGACTAGATTTCGGCTCAGGTCATGATCTCAGGGTCGTGAGATCGAGCCCCGGGTCAGGCTCTGCACTGGGCATGGCGCCTGCTTAACATTCTCCCTCTCCCCTTCCCCGTCCCTGCCCCCTCTCTCCCTCTAAAGAATAAATAAATAAATAAATAAATAAATAAATAAATAAATAAATAAAAATAAACCCACAAAACTATACTGTTCCATTTGAGTGTGCTTGTATAGTTGCGCAGGTTTTTGTTTTCACTATTGTAAGTAACACCATCAAGAGCATAAAACTTACTCTGTATTTGGGAACATTTTCTTAGGAAGAATATCCCTAAAGTGGCACTACTAGATCAAGGGGGGACTCATTCAGGCCTGGCTCATTCGTGTTTGCACCTTCCAACACAGGCTGATACTGGTACCAGGTCCGTTTTATTATTTCCTTTCTCCTGTGATTCTGTCCTGGGATCCTCCATCCTCTTGAGTCAATAGACAGTATTAATCTGGCCTTTTCTCCTTACTGTCTGCTCGATGTTGCAGTTTACTGACTACCAGGAGACTTCCTGAGCTCCCAGCGCGGTGGCAGGGAGGTGTAAGAAGAGGGCAGAGGTGGCTAGGGGTCCGAACTTGTTGGCAGAGAGCCTGGATTTTACTCAGGTGTCTTAGGAGGCCTTGGATGTCATCAGGTTTCTGTTGGAAGAAGGCAACTCCGCTGAACGGAACATGGCCATGGGCACGAGTGGAAGCGAGAAGGCAGAGCACTGACCAGAAAGATCTGTTTGGGTGGCTTCTGGATGAAAACTGGCACGTGCCAGTGGAGCAGACACAGCAGGCACCGAAT